CGTCTTGGGCGTTAACAGAAAACGAGTTCGAAACAATGTTTTGTTCAAATGCCAAAGCACACAGAGGTGTTGATGCAAGCGTCCTCATTAAAGCAAAACGAAGAGAGGCAGGCAATTTGTGTCAAAAAAAAATAATGTTATACTTGTTATACTTTGTATTACCGGGTCTTAGTAACACTTGACATTTAGAAAACCACGAATTAGCAACTTCTTGGTTGCTTGTTGTTGCAGTCTGGTATCACCATATCACTACGTTGTGTAATTCATACACTCAGATATTTATTAAAGGAATTCATAAGGCAAATGCAAGAAAATAACTAAGTCCAGAAACGGTGCTGAATCCGGATAAAACAGAACTGAAGACCAGAGGAACAAGCTTTCCTACATCTATGACGTATGACTGGTTCTTGGCTGTATAAATAAGGTAGACACACATTGTATATAGAATTTATTAAACACAAACTACACCGTCTTTTTGTTTTTACGCAATTAAAAAAAGTTGCCTCTGCCTCTTTTCTTTCTTAACAGTTTTCGGACGATAATGGAGCTCTTCGCTCGCCGCCGAGAGACAGACGAGCCTCGGTTTCAGGCGTGCAATTGCCAGCATTTAAATAATGTGCTGATTATTGCAATACTCTCAACAAAAGACGGTGCATAGAGCACGGCGGAGCATTTCCTAACGTTGTTTGCGAGTCATTAGCATAAAAACGGCATAATCAGCGTAGCGGTGTAATGCCGGGAGTTCGAGAGCTCGGAATGTTGTTCTTGTCGATTGTCATGCAAGCGTGTGGTCCAGACGCCGGTGCGCAAGCAACACACGGACCTGTGTTTGTCTGACGGCCTGGATGTGTATTTGATGAATAGAGCACAAAAGCCAGTGATTTTCACAAATACATTCAGCACACAATGTGAAAATATTAACAACAAAAAACCGCTGCAAAATAATTAGGTTACTACCAACATGAGTGCCGAGACTCCAAATAAAGACGAGGCTGATTGAGATGTAGTACTTTTGCGTATCTGCTGCGACTAATAATTGCCGATGCAGGGGGGAAAAAAAAAAAAACGTGGCTAAACAAAGTTTAAGTCGAGCCATATTCATTAATTTGCCAAGCTTGGCCGCCACCAGCTGGCTAAATATAGTTAAATGTGATCTTTTAGCCCCAACAGTGACGCTTTAAATTTCACTTTAATTGTAAGGGATTTTTATGAGTTCAATCTCTCTTCCCAAATTGCTTTTGTGCTCCAGCGGAGTTTTGTTTGCATCTTCAATCACCAAATAATCATTTACATACCCAAGATTGCGTTGCACACGACAGGCTGCGGGAGGGGAAGTGCTCCCCGGAGCAGCGGCAGAGTCGCCCCCGTAACGGCGCTCTGTGCTCGGCAGCTATAGGTAGTCGTACCTTTCCAGGAGATTATTGCTCCCTGGGAGGTGTGTGGGCAGCCAATTAGGAAAAAAGTGCAGCTCCCCCCCCACCCCCCCAAATCACACTCTTGTAGCGGCCGTTCCACATGTCAGTTTCCCTGTTATACACTAAATGCATTTATTCTCGAAGCCTTTGTATTGTTCAACACTCTTTCCCATTTGTTAGCTGTCCTGCCTAACTGGGCTTCTCCTACTAAACAACATACAAGCTGGGAAAATGATTTCCCTATCAACACTAGATCACATCTCTGATGTATGTTTTCCTGCTTTCCTGTGATGGTAAGTTGTGGATTACAGAAGAGTGAGCGGTCTCTCATACTACATCGCTGTCTTTAAACTTAATTGTTTCTGTTCTGTTGGGGGAGGTGGCGTATAATTAAGCTGCAGTAAAGCAAACCTTTAACTCCATCGTTTGGTGTTTTTGAGGATCACTGAAAACAAGATATGATAGTTAAGTCCTCGTTTGTTTTCATGTCAGGGAATTTCAAAGTGGGGCTGCACAGTGGCGCAGTTGGTAGAGCTGTTGCCTTGCAGCAAGAAGGTTCTGGGTTCAATTCCCGGCCCCGGTCTTTCTGCATGGAGTTTGCATGTTCTCCCTGTGCATGCGTGGGTTTTCTCCGGGTACTCCGGCTTCCTCCCACAGTCCAAAAACATGACTGTCAGGTTAATTGGCCTCTCCAAATTGCCCCTAGGTGTGAGTGTGTGTGTTGTTGTGTGTCTCTGTGTTGCCCTGCGACAGACTGGCAACCTGTCCAGGGTGACTCCGCCTCTCGCCTGGAACGATAGCTGGAGATGGGCACCAGCACCCCTCCCGACCCCAAGGCTGAGGAAAGAAAATGGATGTATGGAATGCTTTGGTGTTTATCTTGCCTGATGGTAAATCCCTCAGATCAAAGAGCAACACTTGGTATAATAATGAATACTGGATTACACCAAAGAAACTGAACTGTGCTTGTTGGCTACGATGTTTAGCAGTTTGTTTGTTTTTTTTTTTTATAAAAGCCACATTACCAAAAATCAGTTCTTATTTTCTCTAATTAGTGTAGATCTTATAGGCAACCTAGAGACTATAAAGTTTGGGAATGTATGAACTAAAAGTTTGAGTTTTCAGCTCTTCTATGTCACTTCATGACATAAAATAATACGGTACAGTCTGCAGCAGGAGAACTTTCCTTCCATCACCTTCTACGAAAACTTGTCGTTGCACATGTCACAAGTACAAAACAAGGAAATGCAGTTTGCATCCATCCAGAAGAAAAATAAAATACATATTGCAACTGTACAGTGAAGTTTTAAAAAAATGCTAACATTTAATTTCCCTTTTTGCTCACTAGACTTTGTTTTTTTTTATATATAAATTGAATTTGAATTCATTGCAGTATTTAACAGACATTCAAATAATTTATATGTAAAAATGACCGTTATTTTTGGTTTATGTCCCTATTTGACTGGAGACATCGATCACTTTTGTTCTTTTTAATTAATGACGCAATCAACATTCTACCACTTTCTGCTTTCGATTTAGCCAAAGTTTGGTGAGCTCAGCTTGGCTTGAGGTCTTCACATACCTCTCTGTGTCCGTGGATGAAAGTCGCTGAGACACTAAACACGAGCGACGGCCTTTCCACATGAAAATACTGTGTTTTCACTAACGGTGTACTCCGGTTTGCAGATATGTCGCAGAAGATGTGCTTATTGGCAAAGCGGCACACAGAACGCCATAACCAAATGCTCTCAATATTGTTAAAAAAAAAATAAGCATGGTGGACAATTAGATCTCTGTAGGACATCCAGGCCCATCCCGACAAGCATGGCGAACAAGCCGAACACTGTGGCCCACAGAGTAGATCCCAAACATGCTAGTAGCTTACAAAAAAATAAAAAATAAAAAAAATAAAATAGATCCTTCCATCGAACCCTGGACCCCTCCCAGTTCTCTGTTGGATCATCCAGCTGGATGTGGAAGACCACAGGGCTACAGAGGGGCAGCGAAGTTAGTTTGCTGCTAGTTAATCCGTGTTCAACAGCTGGTAAATGCTGAACTGTGTTCACAAATTATTTGCATGCACCATTTCCTTGGTTGGACGCCCACAGTGAAACCTGTAAAACCCTCACTGGCTCTACAAAACCAGACGGATGATGTTGAACGCAAACCGCTGCAGAAAGAGGTCAAAACATCGAGTTGTCACTTTTATTCATCATTCCTGCATAAAAAAACAAAGAACCTTTCTGTAATTATGCACTCCAAATGAGTTTTTTTTTTTTTTTAAACAGTGAATCACCGTGGCAGCAAATCAGATCTTTAACAATCAGATGTTATGTAACGCATTTGGAGTTTCATAGTGGAATATTAATGCCTTCTCTTTTTGCAGTCCAGTTTCTAGCCTGCTCGACATTTCGTCTCCGAGGATTTGGAAAACAAAAACACTAACCACTTCTTCTGCCTCAAAAAAAAGAAGAAAAGAGAGAGAGAGAGAGAAAGAGAGAGAGAAAGAGAAACTGGGTTTTGAGAGAGAGAGATTAGATTTTCTTGATCTTTTCAGAGGTCTCACCTCGCTCCTTTTAATTCACCGGGGAACATAAAAAGGCTCAGTCTTCTCTACCTCTGCTGCGTCTCCCTCGTCGGGCACTAAACTCGGCACACCTTTCTCCTCCTGCGCACGGCACTTATCTCTCTTTGCATCACTCCCTCTTACTCTCACTTCATCCTTTCAGACCATTGATTTTTCACAGCATCTATAAAATATTTACAAAGTGTGGGCAGACTTCTTCTTCTAGGACTTTAAAGAAGGGAAGGAGAGATCATCTTTGAAAGGCAGCAGCACAAGGAGAGAAGGAACAGAGGGGGAGGAAAAGCAGAGGGATGGAAGGAGGCAGATAAGGGCATTGGAAGTCCACCCAAAAGTTGCGACTTGAATAGCAATGCTCCCCCTCCTCCTCCTCCTTGAACCTGCCGATGATTATGAATAAACAGAAACACGAACTGTACTGATGAATATCACTTCTGATGGATTGATTGGGACTGACTGGGTTTTTTGTTGTTGTTTGTTTTGTTTTTATTTATTTATTTACTAGTTCACAAGTTCAAAGCTGTGTGCTGCCCTTGTATAACTCTGAAGATGCGAAATCATGTTAGAAAAGTTCACACAAAAGGTCACATGAACGACACATTACCTCTACACTGCAAAAACACAAAACCTTACAAAGTATTTTTGTTCCAGTTTCTGGTGCAAATATTTTTATTACACTTAAAATATGACCAACTGACTAAAAAGTAACTTTTTAGCAAGATTTGGAGGCTTGTTTTAGGTATGTAAGACCTTAATATTGATGAAATAGTACTAGTTCCATTGGCAAGAGAAACATTCATTCATTTGCTTTATTGCAAACTGGATTAAATCAAATTGTGTCTAGGTTTTGCTTTGCCCAGAAGAAAGACGCACAACTCCAAAATGCGCCATAGAAAATATTAACTCCTTTATTTTTATTTTGACGTTTTATTTTTACTCGTACTGTGGACCTTTGTTGTGCTCACCTTGTAATCCGTGTCCCTGCGTTTGTTTTCCCCCAGGTGGGAGGGACCATGTACAACACGGGCCGCCACGTCTCCCTGCGACTGGACAAGGAGCATCTGGTTAACATCTCCGGGGGCCCGATGACGTACAGCCATCGTCTGGAGGAGATACGACTACACTTTGGCAGTGAGGACGGCCAGGGCTCTGAACACTTGCTGAACGGACAGGCCTTCTCTGGAGAGGTGTGTGTGTGTGTGTGTGGATTCAAAAACGTTGCTCAGTCATTGGCTTGCGTATTGAACAGAACTCATTTGAAATGATGAATCAGTTCAAATGAGGTCAGATGAAGGATGCGTCTGAATCGACTCGTCTACTTTAATTCTAACCATAACCCTAAGAAAATTACAATTAGCTCTAGCCAGCTGTGAGAAGGAGAGAACTGAAAAAGAAACTTGGAAGAAGAAATGAACCACATAGAAGCATAAAAAAAACACCCCAAAATGACTTCCAACAGCTCGTAGATATTTTTTTTTAATGTCAAGTAAGTGGTATTGACCAATAATCATTGTGACCGCAGTCAATGGCATCACTACTGAGATAAAAGCTGCAGTCGGACAAAGTGGAGTACATAATCACCGTACAACTTTGAGTCTTTTTTTATTTTTTTGAAACGGAAACATTTTCCTATAAAGATCAAGACGATGTTTTATCCGTTTTCAGCATGAAGGTTTCCTAAACCTTCAGTCTTGTGCCATTTAAAGTGAAGTGGATGCAATTACATCACCTGGATATCTTGTCACAAGTGATGAATTCATGTATTCTTCTCTCTTGCAAAAAAAAAATATATATATATATATTTGAAGGGAATAACCTAGTGTTTCCACAATAAACTCGCAATGCTCAAATTTATAAAAAAAACCAAACAAACTGAATTGCGGTTTCGGAGTCTGGACCCAAGTGAAGTTACTTTGCATGCTCACAAACCCTCCAATTTGACTAAATGAAAACATTTCTGCAGAGAAGAGCCAAATACTCGACTATCTGCCAGTCATTATAATTGCTTCATGCCAGCTGTTGACACCAAGAGTGGCACAACCCGTTATTAGGTGTAGGGAATGATGACTTTTTCATCATAGGCCGAGGTCGGTTAGGATTACTCGTGTTATCTCTACTTTTCACTTTCTTTTTTTTTTTTGACCTGAAAAATTAAAGCGTGAAGAAAAAAAATCATGGTACAAGCGGAACCAAACATATAAGGCAGCTAAGACTTTTTTCGCAGCGCTCTACTGTGATCGTAATTGTCCGTGACTGAATGCATTCTGCGTTTTTCTTTTTCTTCTTTCTTTGTTTTTGTTTGTTCTCTGGCGCTCGAGCCTCGGTGGAAGTTGTGGCTCACGGTCCATTTTATTCATCCGCCAGCCCTGCTTCTACCACACTTCTGCGCAATTTCATGTAATTTCCGTCGACTCTAAATGATAAGGGCAAGCCCCTCTGTGCAGTAACTTGAATTACCACCAGCGAAGTCAAGTTGAATGGAATGCAGAGAGACCATTAGAGAGCCCAAGACGTGTTGGACCGAGTTTGATATCGGCAACAGCACAGCGAGGTGTCATTTAGAGTTGGCTGGGGGTTCACTAAACACGCTGCGGCAAAACTAGCGGCTCTTTCTGTACTCCACACACCTTCATGGTTTGATAATGAAAACTTTGGGGAGAGGTCGAAAAGTCTTTAATATTAATGCGATAACTACAGTGTAGATTTATATTTGCTGTGCTGGGGTTTGACAGCAAATTTTTTTTTTTTTGTCCAGCCGGCGGGGTGTGGTAGTTGAGTTGAGTTTCTGAGGTCCATCATGTATGTGCAGCATACATTCAACTTATTTTTAACCTCTAAATATGTATAGATTCTCTTTTAAATGGCCAGACTGTTCTGTCCTAATCCAGTAAGATTTCGCTGCTTTACCAACATTCTGTGCAATTCTGAGCCCAAAGTTTTTGATATGCAAACATTTTTTGGGGACTTCAACGGTTAAGCACTGTGGAGCATGTAAAAAAAAAAAAAAAATCAGTAAATCCTCTAATTTACTCTGAAATGCAGGATAGGTAATTGATGGTGACCATTTTTTATTTTTATTTTTTTTTTTTTACTTGTAAGGGCTGGGGGAGGTCAAGAGCTGCAAAGTCCAAAATTTCCACAAAACATTTTTGGTAACACTTTATTTGAAGGGGGGTGAATAAGACTGACATGACACTGTCATAAACATGACATAACACCTGTCATGAACATGAATAAGCCTTCATGAATATTTATGACTGTTGTCATAAAGCGTCATTCAGTAAATTATGACACTTTCAATACAAAGTTGACATTATTCAAAATGTCTTTATGACAACTTGACATTAACCAAAAAATCATTACTGATATAAATTTGTTAGAAAAGTATTACTGATTGCACTTTAAAAATGAGGTAACTTTATGTTATTAAAGGTAAAGTTTAAACAGTAATGATTTCCTGGTTAATGTCAAGTTGTCATAACAAAGACATTTTGAATAATGTCAACTTTGTCTTAAAAGTGTCATAATTTACCGAATGACGCTTTATGACAACGGTCATAAATATTCAAGAAGGCTTATTCATGTTCATGACAGGTGTTATGTCATGTTTATGAAAGTGTCATGTCAGTCTTATTCACCCCCCTTCAAATAAAGTGTTACCACATTTTTCATCTGTTATCTTGTGATGCATTGCTTCACTCTGCTGAAAATGTGCTAATAGAAGTGTCTCCTCACCACAGTTTGATCCCAGTCTTTCTTCGTTTTCATTTTGTTTTTTGCTCCCAAGTATGACTGACCAAACACCAGACGGTCGTGGCAAAAATAATAATAATAATAATAAATTCAGGTGTAAAATTCTCAACAGTAGTTTCCTCATGCTGCGCCCCATCCCCCCGTTTCAACATGCAAACTTGGCTGCTCGTTTGAATGTTATTTTTAAGTTCAGTTCACAGAGATTAAGACGGAATAATTTATGTTCGCAGTTCACAACTTAAAAAAATTCTGAGCCACATTCGCCTGTCCTAACGTGCTTATCAATTGTTCACAGGATTTTGCCTTCTAAAATAACTTCCTCAAGGTTGGTGGATCACGCCATGTGTCGTGTTGGCAATTACAATCTGCGATCATACCTGCATTCGCTTACGTCTGTCCTGGACCTCCTGTTCACACATACTCTAACATGGCCACATTCAAAGATACATAGATTTATTATTACAGACTCAAAGTCCAAACCACAAAAACAAAAAGAAAACAAATACAATAAAAGAACAAAAAGTACAAAAAGAAAGGTTCCTAACCATTCAGGAGGCAATTATACCAAAGTCTCCAAAGCACAGATGAGTATTTTTACTGCACTATATTTAATGTTAGTCAACAGTAGGATAATTCTATCATTAGATTCGTTTAAACAACAAATAATGATTCATTTTTGTATTTCTCCCAGAAAATGTATTTATTTTTTTAATTTTGGGGATTTTTTCAATTTTTTTTACATTATAACCACAAACATTTATGTGAAGTATTGGAATTTCCATGTGATTAATTGAAAATATTGTCGTTGAAAACCAAGGAACACGGGCTAAAACAGGGTTACTATACACAAATGGACGGATTTTCCGTTAATAATTCAAAGTCATTTTCCGCAGGAAAATGTTCAAAATAGGCGAATCTGCAAACACTGATTTACAAATAGGCAGCCGTCCACTGCACTTAACACCCAGACACCTTAAACGCTCTGTAGTCCTGGATCCACACAAACACAGGTGAACACACAGGCCAAGCAAAGGTGGCATTATTTGGCTAAAAGAAAAGCTTAAAAAATCCCCAGTCCATGTGGGAGCGCATGTTGACAGGTCAGCTGTTAGTTTTACACCCCACTTCTCTGACATGAATGGAAGAGACAAAAAGAAAAAGCAAACAAAGCCATCGTTGAAAGCCTTAAGAAGTACCATCTGCAGTTTGCACAAACCATGTAGAGCAGTGGTCCCCAACCCCCGGTCATTAGTACCGGGCCATGGCAAAAATAATTAAATATATCCACTTTATATATTATCGGAGTCTGAAGGAGCTT